GAGGGAATGCCTCCCCCCGGACTCCAATGCACAAACTAAACGCCCAGCAGCCATTCAGAGACCCTGCCCAGGGAAAAAGCATAATGCATCAAGATGCATCGACAATCGCCCCACAATCCCACCGCAGCCCACCAAATCGCAATCAGATCAACCCGCGCAGAGATGTTGAGTTTCTAATTTATTTATTTTAAAATATTAATATTTTTGCTCTGGGCCAGTGAATTGCTAGTTCAGCTGCCCCAACGTTACTTCTTACTGGCCATCGGGCCACTGTTATTGTCGAGCCCTGAATATCCATTTAATTTTTTAAGTAGACTGCTTAAGCCTTATTTAGCTTCAACTAAATTTAGCCTCCTAAAATCCTGTGTCCTCATTTGGGGAATTTAGGTTTTGAGATCCATGCACCATCTAATTCATTCTGCTCGACTTAGACCTATTGTCCTCATTAGTGGGCACATGCCTGTGCCCTATAGGGTCACTTGCCAGCCATGTTCTGATGTCTGTTTCTTCTTTGTTACACAATGGGTACACATACTCATATTTTTCTAAAAGTACGCCCTGTTCAAAGACATTGCTACTAATATAAATACACACAGAATCAAAGCGCAGGTCTTGCTAGGTTTGGGAAACATTTTTTCATGAAAAGAGAAGAATGGATTTGTCCCTAATTTCTAATAATTTGGCCATGCCTATGAAGGGGATGCTAATAGCCAACAATAACATTTTCACTGTACACATCATATTTTAGCATTGTTTTGAGATAGATTACAAAAAAACACAAACCTATCCTTTCATCTCTTTGAACCTGTCAGTTGTTGGAAGAGGTATTTGAGTTTTCCGTAGTACATTTCTTTACATTACATTTACATTCCATTACTTGTTGATTTTGACATTTCTCTGAGTACACCGAGTACTTACATCGCAGGTTTTGAAGAAGTCAGTCATCCGCTAGCAGGTTCACTGGGAGGCCACGGAGGGTCGGATGGCATCTCATGTGTACCTTTTGTTGTTCCTAGATTGACAATCAAAATAATTATTACACAAATATTTTTACAGCCCATCAAGCCATAAAGTGTAACAGTTCTACCAATGTAATTCTAAAATAATATTGATAGCAATAACAAATCCATCCAGCTGCAACTACTAAGTCAAGTCAAATTTAAACAAACACAGTGACTTAAACAATGGGTGAGAAATAGAAGCTAACTATAACCTTAAACATGACAATAGAAGAGATTTGGAAGCCTGTGCGGTAGGGCTGGACCCAAATATTCAATTATTTCGTCATTGGGTTGGTAATCAGTTTTCAATTTTGGGATTAGGAGATTTGCACAAGAAGTTGGTCTCTTGGACGGATAGAAAAATAAAAAGTCATGCTCAGCACAAAAAATCAGAGTGAAATGGAGGATTTTCTTGGAAAGGATTTTGTTGTTAGTTTGTGTTCAGCTGCCCATTCCACACCTGCGCAGTGTGTACCACAGTCGCTCTCGCGCATCAGTGGTACGTAACGTGTTGGGCAGTAATAGTGCAATATTACTTCTCCCATTAAGTGTAGGCCTAATGTAATCTATTACAATTTCCAAAACAGTCATATTATTACAGTTAGTAATCCAAGTAACGCTAGCCTACTGAACGCACCATGAATGCGTGACCGTGCTGCATGTCAGCCACACCGGACCTTATGTTGTTAAGTCAGCTGTTAGCCAAAAAGCTAGGAAGGAAGACTGGAGAACAGGGAGAGAGAGGTATTTCTGACAGCTGTAAGTAACGTTATCTCCATTACTGTGTCACAGTCTAAGTTGTCGTCCTTTGTAAACTTTGTGCGACCAGCAAAATGTAGGGTCCTATATTATTTCTGAGTAACTTGTCCAACACTGAGTTGACAATAAGGATCGGATAAATTGAGTATGTTTTGACCTATTGCTTGTTATAGTGTTTAATGTTTACTTTTTACTTTGTTGTCATTGATCACTCATATAGGCTATATAGGCTACACTTTGCTGTATGAATGGGTGCAGGTTTTGGCAAGTTATACAAAAATTTCTAGTGAATTGTTGTGACAGGGTTTATACAAAGCCTTTTCATATGGCTTTGATCTGCGGGGTCGCTATGTGCTCCTCATTGACAGACAGGCAAACAAGCGCTCCGCGAGGTAACCATGGCAACGGCTTCTGTATAACTGCCGCGATCCCGTGAAACTGTCGCGGTCGTTCTCGTCTCACGCACACGCCCATCCGCTGCCAGAGTTGAAATGTCAAACTTTTTCCTACAGTTTATCAACAGACAGAGACTGATGTGGCTGTTTGATCAGAGTTTCCTAAATAATATAACAGTTTCTTTAACAGTTTTTGGCTACCAGGTCTTAAACAGACAACGACCTTTGCAGCTGACTCTTATTCATTAAAAATAATCTGTTTACTTCTACTGAACTAATTTGAAAGTTAGTAGTTATACTATTTAGTTATAGACTCAATTATTTCATGTTGCACTTTTAGCTGTTAAAGTTTGGTAAAAAATTCATACAAAATAATAATTATTATAGAGAGGTTGCAAGGACGCAGTTGATTAGACACTTGTCTTTCATTCCCACTGCAACACATCCACCAAATAAGCTATTGTCATGGGTCCTACTTTACCATCCATGTTATAATAGAGCCGCCGCCAGTTTTATCGAGGTTTGGGGGGGTCTCAGTATATTTTCCTGCTTTTTTACCCTTTGCCAATCACATGCCTGTTAAATGTGCCATTAAATTGAGAAGCTAAGTAACTTACTAGTTAATGTCAAACTAGACCGTGTTGGCAAGAGGTAACGTTAACATTGTCGTCGTGGAAGAGTAATTTTGTTGTAATATTTGAAATCTTCCATATATCAGTTAAAAAGTCAGAGTCCACGTGTGAGGAGTTGGCTAAAGTTAAACAAGCTAACTTTAGCTTGTCTTATCCACTGCTCCACAACCAATAAGTATGCTCATTACTGTATGTAGACTTATTTAGCAAGTTTAGCTTTTGGGTGTAGTTCATTCAAAATCTTACTCTACTTGTTATTCACAGATGTGGTAATAGCAATGTTCCAAAATTATGTGGAATTGCATATTTCTTTATTTAAAAATTTTTACATTTTACACCCTGTGAAAGCATGTTTTAATCCCCACGGACATTATTTTTATAATTTCTAAATGTACCTGCTTTGCACCTGCCTCGACTTCTCCCTGTACTTACACACACCTTTACCTCTGGTCTGTCACGGCAAACACACCGGCTTTCCCTGCCTCTCTCTCTCCCTGTCTGCTCCCCTGAGTTTCTCCATCAGCAGTAGGTTATGTTTTGGTTTTGGTTTGTTCTGGATATTTCCACCTGTGATCCTTTTTCACAGCAGCAGGTGCGCTGCGTCCCAGCTTGTTAATTACGTAGCTTATCAATGTCATCGTCCATCCCAGTGATTCATTGTTGACAAATGTCAAGTGTGAGTGTGTTCTCTGAATTAAATGAAGTTTGGTACAAACAGTAACTGCATTAGTTCAAAGGCCCGACCAGAATCTCAGTAAAAACTCAGGGCTAGTTGGTGAACTTATTTAACTGGCGAGCTAACTAACGGCGAACATGCTAATCACTTTGGCAAGTGCTAAGTAGGGATGGGGATCGAGACCATGTTCTAAAAGGATCCGGTTCCAAAATTTCTCAAAACCCGAAAATCAGTAAGATCCAAGCTTATTAATACTGCTATCGAGACTTGTCGGTCCTATAATGTAACGTTATGTCTCGAGCATCTAATCAGATTTTTTGACACGATGGATAAGAAAGCTAATGTTTCAAAACAGGGTATTAAACGGACCTAGGACTGTTTATCATCAGGCTGCAGCCTCTGCTTTTCTCTGTTGGATCCTACACACACACACACACACACACACACACACACACAGCAGCCAGCAGAGCGAGAAGCCGCGCCGTTGTGGTGGAGACGGTGAAGTTAAGTTTGCTCCAAACTACTTGAATTGTCGACACCTACGCTCGTTAGCCCTACTGTAAGTACGTGCAATAAAACCTTCCCAAGTAAAAAGACAGTACTTTATCAATACACCTGTCTGTAAGGTAAATCATCTCTGCCTTCAGTCTGTCATCCTGTAGGCTATGTTATTTACTAGCACAGCTAATGTTAACTTGGCAATTACCCATTACCTATGTTATAAACAAGCTAAATAGAAAGCTCTCTGTCTGCAGCCTTAAAATCTGGCACATTGTTGTAAACTCAGCTGCTGGCTGAGACAAACCAGCCTCCTCCTTCTACCAGGTAACGTTACCTGCAGGCAGTGAATAACAGCCAAGGGGAGGAGGAATGATACAGACTGAGTTTTTATTCTTTCTAAACGTCACTCATTATTATGATGGAAACGGTAATGTGTCTGCTCTAGAAACAACATTTAGCTGTATTTAAAATATTAAATTCTAATCCTATAAACAACCAGGCAGTTAATATGCACACTTCAATATATGTTTATTTATTGCAAGTCATATGTCATCATCTATATAACAATGTTACCGCACATTGAATATTCTCCTCATACCGTGCAGGCCAACCTCATGCCTGTTGGGTCTGGTCTTACCAAATAACTGTCACCAAATAATAGTAAAGTATCGATAGTGGTATCGTTAAAAAGTCAGATCATTAAGCACTCTCAATAAGGGTATCAATATCAAAAATTAATGATCTCCATCCCTGGCATGAAGGCGTGTCAGAAGGACGACGTCTGGCTGCTCTGCTACCTCACCCCCTCCATCTATACCGACACAAACACAGATCCAGTTCTAAATGTTTCTATCTCGGTTCAATTCCCAGATGAGACGCTGCGGCGCGTCTGGCTGCTCAACATGATTGTAGCTGTCATCTACTCCACACAGGTTGCTGATCAGGACTCACCTCTGCAGAACCTTTAGTCTGGTTCTGCTGGTTCTGTTCAGTAAACAGGTCTCTCTGTGTTGCAGCTGCAGGAGCTGATGTGTCACATGATGATATGGAGCCTGGTGATGTTCAGGAAGGACTCTGTGCTCAACATCCTTAGTGAGACACTCTCAAAGGACACCTGTCCTCACGTCTTCCACCTGTGTCCACCTGTCCTTGCGTCGTCTTTTTCTTTATGTGTCCACAGTTTAGTCTCTAGACTAGAAGACCTCCGCAGAGCAGTACAGCACCTGGCAGCTGTTCCTGGAGACCATCATCCCCATCCTGCAGAACCTTAAATATAAAGGTGAGTGGTGTCCAGGAAAGGGTCCCTGTCCTCCAGTCTGATCAGTCCTCTGACTCCTTTGTCTTTGTGTTCCTAGAACACCCGGAGGCCTTGTCCTGTCTGCTTCACTGACTGCATTTCGTTTGTGCGTTTCTTTTGTAAGTTGCGATATAGGTTTTAAATTACATTCATAATGGTCTTAAAAAGGTTTTAAATTTGACCAGGTGAAACCTGCAGAAACCCTGATATTGTTCCACTACCTTGTCTACCTGACTTTGACAATTTGCACAGTGTGGAACTTCTTTTTTAAACAATCTTTATTAGCTATCTTTATTTGCATATGATTCCATAAAACTCCACATTTAAAGCTCCCTTTTAGTAAAAGTGCTGCTGATGGAATAAAATTATGCATAGTCGCTTTTTCCACAAAACACAGTAAAGTAGTAAAAGTAAATTTTATTTAGCTCAAGATTCAAGTTATTATCACTTAACACCAAAAAATCTCATTAAGAATCTGGAAATAGAGAATGTTCAACATTATTGCAAAAAAGAATGACAACAAATTGATTATCAAAATTGTTGCTGGTTTTATCTGATCAAGCAGTCAATTACTTTGTCTATTCAGCGTTATTCAAGATGTGCCTTATTTTGTGTCTATTAAATGTGGAAATGACGGAAGAGAGAACTTCAATTGTAATAATGGAGTTGTGTTTGTATCTTTGAGGACTACTATCTGAAAATGAGAATTTTGTAAATTTTAAGTCTATCATAATTCATTTTTGTCAGTAGATTTCCCTCAGAGTATAAGTTGTGCACAATTACATTTATTGAGTAAAGAATAAGTGGAATTTAATTTTAATAAGCATCAGTGAATCAATGTAATTTAGTATGTGGAAATTAAAGGTTTTTTAAAAATGTATTATATTTAAGTTTTACTCAAAAATATTATTTCCACTACTATAAAAGTTTGAGGTAATCAGTTTCCACAAATATTTTGAGTATTCTGAACTTATTTGAGTTTACAGTGTACACGAATCCTGGGGGTAGCAAACACTATTTGAGCAGCTACTTTGTCAGAAATGCAACAGAAGAGCAAATGGTGTATCGGTATTCAGTGCAGCCAAACAAACTCACATTGGTTTAATACAGTAGTCAGTCAGTAATTGGTCTTTTTCCATTATCATAATCAATCACAATATGAGTTCTGCAGGAAAACCTGCAACTCTTTGTCAAACAGCTCACTGTAGCTGTTCCTTCTTAAAACTGACCAAAAAAACCCCATCTTGTTTTGTTGATGCGTTTTTGATCACTGACGGCGCTAGCTGCAGTGACAGACATTGCATTTCTTGCTTTACAATAAAAGCCACCCCAAGTTTGACAGGTGAATGCTCTTAAAGAGGTTATATAATGCTTTTTTCCCTTTAATTTATTGCGCTATATCTTTTTTTTTGTGCATGTAATAGGTTTGTGAAAAGGCCTTGGCAGAGGCCACCCCAAAGGGAGTTACCCTCTCCAAGAGAAAACACTGCTCCTGATCTACCTAGAACAGTTCGATTGTGGTCTAGCCATTATTTCCGTAACCTATCTGCACCAATATGTAGCACGTGTAAAAATGCTCACCTAGCAGCTAGTGTGAGCATGTCCTCAAAAACACTGGTGAAACACACAGAGCTGCAGCACACAGTGACAAGATCGCTGCCTCAGCTCACCTCCACCTTCCCTACTGAACGCTAGATGCAAGTGAATAATAAAATCCAACAGTAGTGAGATGCTTCATTCCATAGCTAAAACGGAGCATCCAAAACACAGGGTGAAAAGAGCTGCTTTTAGCAGTGTGCAGTATGACGAAAAAAATTGTGTTTTTTGAAAATGAAACAATGTAAACCTGTTCTGGTACGACCCCTAAATATAATTATGAACCTGAAAATGAGCATAATATGACCTCTTTAATGACACACAGCAGGAAATGTTGGGGTAGCATGAGCAGAAATTTAATACAGCCCTGACAAGGTGTTAGGAGAGTGAACAGCAAGCAGTGGGGCTGATATCAGTGAGATATTATTACAAAAAGTATCTCTGAAATACAAGCTGTGAATCGCATAAGTAGGCAATTTAAATTTAAATCCAATGTGGCGATGGCAGCCTCCGTCATTTACAATGAAAACTACTGTATAGAGTGGTAATTACTAAATTTAAATACATTGAGTGCTATTGTAAACCAAAAATTGCGTTTGATTTCATGAAAATCTTAAAGATTATAACTTTAAAGGTTTAATTCCTCTGTTCCAGCTTTCGCACCTTCTCTACATGAATGAGACCGTCCGCTCCATGTCATTGGCATACTCAATGGCCATCCACTCTAATCTATCCTAGGTCGTTAGCCCTGTCTGCGAGGCTAATCATCATCTCCTCTGGCTCAAGTTAGCCAAAGAGAGAGCATCACCAGAATGAGACAGTTAAATATTCATGTCCCACTGTGGTGTAATATCCTCCTCAATGATGTTTGAACCTTGTGACCCGAGGTAATCAGCAGTAATCACACGGTCACGCCAAACAGTGATAAATTTGATCTGTAGATGGTTGAGTCTGATGAGCTTTTGACACCGCTGAGTGCCGTGCACCAGGCAAAAGCTCAAACTATGATCGCCACATCCAGCACACACAAACCTGACGCTCAAAGGCAGCGTTCCCGATGACAGACAGTTCATTTCACCCCCAGGCATGTAGGTATGACATCACTCGATTAATAATGGAGCAATTAATTATGACCTATTAGACTGATGAATTAGATTAGATAGAGAAGAGGAATGTAGCCATGTGATAATATTACACTAGGATACATTAATGACTTCTTGGGGAATGAGGTGGGGCGAGGGGTGTAGAATAGAATTTATATGTGCCAGTTTGGAAGGACATTCAGTCAGCTATCTAATTATATCAATGATAAATGGTGTTATTGATATGACAGTGATTCCATACCCCAACATGGTAATATTCTGCTGTTATGATGTGATGACACTGAAACTTGTGGATCTATATTGTGAGACGGTGATGTCTCACATTGTGACAGCAGACACCATCTTAAATGAAAGTTTCATATTGATGATACACTTAGCCTCATGGAAACCACTGGTGCATTCAAGGTATCTTTGAAGCAGCTGTGCGGAGGGTTTTTGATGCATGAAGACATTATAGGACTTTTAAATATTTATGTAGTTGTTACATCGCACTAAAAAATCAAAGATGCTTCCCGTGACAAACAATTTTAAATTTTTTAACTAATCTCTAGTGGTAAAAGCGATTGATTTGTCTTCACGTGTCAACACATTTGAACTAAAAATTGCTGCTTAAAACAGGGTATAAATGACTTCATATGAAACTATTAAATGAGTTTTATGTATGTTTTTATTCTACTAGAGAAAAGGGTAAAAATAAACTTGACTCATCAAGCAAAGTGTTAACACATCCCACTGGCATTTTTTCTTGACATCATGGCAATCACTGCTGTCTCCAAGTTCTAACTGAAGTAGCTGTGTGGAAGGTTTGTAATAGATAAACACATTATGTGGCTTCAAATATGAATGCAGTTATTCTGTGTGAAGACTAAAGAAACAAAGGAACTTGCATTGATCAGCGCAAGCTTACACAAAGCCCTGTGCTGCATTCCACTGACATCTAGTGTCAGATTTGTGAACTGAGATAACGCACTGTGTCTGACCCTGAGCAGGTGTGTGTCTGTGTAAACACCCAGAAACACACACGTTATCCACTTGCCCATACATCAGTGTAGTCTTATTGATCTGCTCGATGTGACCTTGAATGATCAGACAAGTGGAAGCGCCACGTTGGAATGAAACCCATCCATCCCCTCTGTCTGCTATCCGCCGCTGTAATGACTTGAGGGAAGACGGGGAGGGAAAGGAGCCCATTGAGATGGGCTCCTGAACCAGTCAGCTCTGCAGCGGCCTTATGTCGTAGCCAGCCTTCCCTCCAGGCACAGTCTGTTCTGAGTAAAGGACAAGAAGTGGGTCAGTCTGTCTGTGATGCAAAAGATGAGACGTGGGCTGGGTAACATTGTATATAGAATCATATAGATAGATGGAGCTCAATCCTTAGCAGGATTATGTAAGTGGAGTTGTTCCCAGGATAGCCCCACACTGAATATGGAACATAGTGTATTAAAATGATAATCAGTAGATGAATGATGAAATATATCCTCTTGGGGCGAAAGATGAAGAAGAGCCATGCTTCGGGGCCTTATGGAAGAGAGTTGGGTGTGTTTCATCCTCTCGCATGCAGAATCTAACAGGATATGTAAAACATTTCCCCTGCAGCTGAAACATGACTAGAACAGTTAATAATGATGATTTTATCCTCATTTCAAATCACTTTCATGACTGCAGACATCAGCTCATAGTGTAAAAATGTCCCTGTGAATTTTTATCCATGATGTAAAGACTGGGAGGGTGGCACAGGCCCGTTTCTAATCCAGGATCACTAACACTTTGTATTTACCATAGACATGACTGAAATGTGTCTCTAAATACATTCATTCTCTGCTACACTGCAAATACCTTTAACTTTACAACATTTATTGGAGAGATACAGTAATTGGCTGCTTTTCAGATTAAGATTTCTTATACAAAATAAATGGTCACCTTGTGAACTATGATGCAGTAGAGCTTCATCTACATCTTATTAGTTTATGGTCAACAAATCACATGAAAAGACCAAAAACAGCAATGAATTGATTCTACTACAAGTATTGTGTTTCCAAAGCCTGATATACCTCTTTTCCATAGGGCTCCATTGTTCACAGCCTTTTGACTCAATCCCACACACACTGTCCTGCTGCCACAGATCCTCACTAGAGGATCAAATGTGTAGTTATCCGCAGGAAATGCAGTATTTACTCCAGTTGGAGTAACGTTTTCTAAAATCTACAGTGTCCAGCTGTTTGAGGTATTTACTCAGCCTTTTTCTTTAAGTCTATTTACAGTGTTTGTCATCTATCATTTAAG